GTAAAATATATAAATATAAAAAAATATATAGTCAGTAAATATATATATATATATTTTTGGGTGTCAGAGTCAGAATAGACTTAATATTGGCACACCCACTGACTGTTATGGGATATAAAACATAAAAGTTATGGAATTAATTAAGAAACACTACATGGTTAATGTATTGAATAAAATAATATTAATAATAATAATAATAATAATAATAATAATTAAATAACACAAAATAAACGATTTAAGGTGTATAACATAAAAGTCAGCGCAACTGAATTATTAGATCGCTGACCCTAGTATATATAGTAATGGCTATGTGGCAGGGTTGAAAATAACGTTCAAAATTTTCAAATGGTGATGAATTAGGGTGAAAGAAAGGTGCAGAAATAAGAAGAAAATGTAACATAGAAACATAAAGAAGCAGAGAAACATAAAAAACGAATAAAGAAACGAGAGAAAGGTGAAGTATTACGATAGCAATGACGAATTTAAATGACGACAAAATTAAAATATAAAATAATTAACTATATAATATAGTAATAAAATAATACGTAATCATTACATAACAACACGCAATAATAATAATAAAAAGAACTAATAAAAATTATTAGAAATTTAACAATATAAACAATGAATGTTAATAATTCCGAATGTATCAACAAATGTAAAACGTATACTTACAAAAAACAACACATTTTTATAAGCGGTAGTATCAGCGTTGGTAAAACAATGTTATGCAATTTGTTATTCGAATATCTCGACTATTATACTCCTATCGCATATATAAAAGAATATATCGATTACAACAACGATGGCGAATTTACATTAAAACATTTACATGATAGTTTAATAAGTAATTTCGAATTTCAGAATTATGTACTAGATTGTTATGAGACTCAACTAAATTCAAGTATTTATGAAGATGCCGATATTGTAATATGGGATAGACACCCCATTGAATCATTGGAAGTATTTTGTGCAAACAACAATTCGTTAAGTAATGAACAACGTCAAAAACTCAAATTAAGAATAGAACAATTAAGTAGAAGATATCAGATTCCACAATTAACTAATAAAGATGTCAGTGTAATAAACATTGATACTAGTAGAATTTCTACAGAATTAATTGAAGAAGCTTTAGTTAATACATTTATTCATCCTTTGTTATTGGGATTATCCGATGGAAGTATTTATGTCTTCTTATTCTGTAGTGATACAAATACACAATTCAAAAGATTAACAAAAAGAAATAGAACTCCAGAGATAGAATTATACAAATCCAAAGAAGATTTAAATGATTTAAACAATCAGTATGCGTTATTTTATACCAATTTAGTACGAAAAAAACTAAATCAAACTAATTAACTGATTATTTTCATTTAGATTTATTCCATGGTAGAAGCAGAAAATACATTAGTAAATAAAATTGAAAATAAAAAACCCAAATTATTGTTAAGATTATGTTATTCTCTAGTAGTAGCAATTATTTTATTTGTAGTACTTATAGGAATTATTGCAGCCGAATTAATAATTAAAATACTAACATAAATAAACAAGAAATAATTAATTATTTTTTTGGTTTATTCAATTCTTTTCGTGCTAATTCTCTATCATCGTGGCACTGTTTAAATGCATTAATAACAATTTTATACTTTTGTAACATTTTACACGCACTACTGGCAATATCTTTAACCAAGAAAACTTCACTTTCAATAAGATTTGAATATTTATCACTTCCAAGAGTAGTTCTCTGTTCTTTCTTATAATAATCAACCATAGTAGAACATAAATCATGTAATTCATCAAGATCCAAATAGAAATCATGTAAATTACTAACAGTTAAATCAGATAAAGCATAATATTCTATCTTATCATCAACAGTTGAAGACATTAATTATATTAACAATTTTATTATTTTCTAGTTTATTTAAATATAGAACAAAACAGACAACAGACATTTTCAAAACGTCATTCAGACAATAAAAAAGGTTTAAACAGACAAAAATTAATCACCAAACAGACAATTTAATACGTATAAAACACGTATAAAGTAGTATTTAATGAACAAAAAATCACCAAACAAAACATCTACAATGACTACATCTCCCAAATTAAAATGTATTTTAGAAAAGCTTATTAGAAAATTAGCAGACGAAATTAATTACTTATTAACAACTAATATAACCACTGATGGCAAAAGTTTATTGTATTCTTTAGCATACTGGGCAAAAAGAGTGATGTTCAACGATGAATATAACTATGATACAACGGCTTATGATTATTTAGGCTATTTATATGAAGATGTAAGAGTACTATTAGTTAATTATGATAATTTGATGAGAATAATAGGCGAGTTAAGATTCTATTATTATGAAGGTTATGCTGATCATCTTAATAATTGATTAAATTTTTTATTATATTTTAATGATTATGAATTATCTTTTTGTTAAATATTTTTTTTTAAACAAAGGTTAACCCTCCTAACGGAGGGGTTATATACTATTTATTAATATTAATTCATTAAACGGAACAACTAAAAAATAAAATAAGAATAAAAAGAATTGAATTAATCATCAGTTTCAGCTTTCTTAGGCTTTTTCTCACTATCCTTAGATTTAATAGGCTTAAGTAAAGCACGCTTAGACTCGTTTTCAATTTCTTCATCATGGATATCATCAACATCAACTTCTTCAGTGTGTTTACGAGACAACTTTCTAACCCAGTCTGGAATAGTACTCTGATCAACGGTCTTTTTATTATATTTCTTTGCAAACTTTCTATTCCATGTATTAAATGAATTAAGTCCTATACTATTTTCATCCAAATATCTAGATATTCTTTCGCATCTCCTAATACTTTCAAGTTTTTGTCTTATTAAATCTTGTCTATCTTCATCGCTTTTAACTTTATCACTGTTATTAATTTTCCAGTCAATATATGACGGCTCTTTCATGGTGTAATAGAACTTCTTAAGAAAGGAATTAACATTTGGCTCAGATTGTGCTTCAGTATAAACGTCCATAATATCCATAGAGGCAACATCCATATAAATATCATCTCTTGGTCTGTTCATGTTTGACATTGTTTTCGATATATATTTGCAAGTTTTTATTCTTTAAATAGTTCAACTCCATTCATTGATGTCATTACCACGTAAGAAAAAACCTCACCGCTTCATATAAATAGATCAAATTAAACTAAAAAAATACATTAATGTCAAAAGAAGATTTTCATTCAGAACCCAATAAAATGGACATGATTCACTTAAAAGATGCTCTAACACATAACAAGGCTCTTCATTTCACATCAAGATTTATGTATCTAACATTGTGGGGTGATGAAATTTCCAATCAAACACAATTTAAAGAAGTGGTGGATCGTCTAGCCGGTGCAACAAATAACGTACAGTATGCACATATTTCACCCACTGAAATAGACGAAGTAAATCCAAAACCACACCAGCATCTACTAATAGTCACTAAGAGACCACGCTCTTTTAAAGCGAGACCGATAATCAATCACTCAGACGGAACAAAACAATCCTTCTGGTACTCGCGAGTAAATTCATACACTTCACGTACCGGAGATATCTCAGCAATTATACGTTATATTACAAAGAAAGGTGCTGGAATGTCTAAAGGTGATCCTTCTACTAAAGAAGATTTGAAGCAGACATGGATTAACGCTTTATCAGAACTTGATTCTTATCAGGATTACAATGAACTAGAAAAAAACCTTCTGGATATAAATGCTGAAAAATATATTCAGCAAGAAGGTAAAATAAAGGCGAGATGGATGCGTAAGAATGCAAGGCGTTTAGATATTGAACATTATACAAGAACCGATTTATTCCCTTGGAGAGAGGAAATGCCAGAAGTACAAACAATTCGTAAATGGTTGAAATGTGCCCAGGGGAATAAATATCGTATGGGAAATCTGTTTATCGTAGGACCCACCAAAACAGGTAAAACAGAATTTGCTATACAAGAAATCTTCTTAAAATATAATACATTCATGTTAAGAGGAGATTCTTTATTCGATGCATATGATGACGAGCAAAATTATAAATTCATTCTCTTCGACGATATAAATTATGATAAAAATTTAATTAGATTAATAAAAGCAATCACTTCTACAATAGATAAAAAGACAATGGTAAATATTAAATATTCCAAGGCAATTGTTACTGCCAGGCCATGTATCCATTTATTAAATCAAAAGGAATACGAAAGTGTTGTCGATTTAATGAAATACAATGGAGGTTATAACTGGTGGAAAAGAAATTCCTTAACAGTATTCATAGATAAAAAACTTTATAAAGATCCAGAAGAATCTGAAAAAGATTCAGAAGACATGGAAAAGCAAGAAGAAAACTATGATGCAATGGAAGATTTACAAGAAAAATATGAAAACATTAAAGATATGCCAGAAGAACAGGATTCAATTGACGATAATCCAATAGAGCACCTTTCTTTCTATAAAAGAGTGACCAACTTAATGGAGTCACTCGGATATGATGAAGAATTCTTAGAAGGTCTGTCGGAAAAAATATCAGAAGCGAAGAAAGATAAGAAAATGAAAAAGATTTTAAATGAATCACAAGAAGACAACACAAGCATGATAGAGGAATGGAACGATGATTTAGAAAAATACCAATCAGATAACCCACTTGGTATGACAACAGAAGACTTCACCAATTTTGAAAGGGAAACAATGTCTCAATACGAAAAACAACGAAGTAATTACTTTAATAAACAATTTAAAGATGATTATATGGATGAAGAAGACGATGATTATGAAGACGAAGAAGATTATTCAGGAGGACCACTAGAACATGCATCATTTGGAGGAAAAAACAATGATATGGATATAATTTATGACTAATTAATTGAATTAATTTAATTGGTATCTTCTTACTTCTGGTCTCCTTTTATATTTTGGATCATCAGCAGGATTAGTTTCTGTTGGCTGAGTAGTAGATGGATCAAATGAAGAACCATCAATAGAAGGAGCCTTAGGCTTCTTTTCAGGATAACCAATCTGGTACTGTTGATAAGGATACTCAATTAAATCCTGAGGTTCATAATTATATTCAATTCGTGGTTGTTTTGGTTTGGGTTTAATTTGAAGAGGTTTATAATCAAATCCAATAGTTTGTTGAGTCTGTTTATCCTTAAGTAAAAGTTTATCTGTTTTATCTTTAAGTACCAACGGATTAACATCAGTCAATGCTTGAGTAGGAACTTGAGTTTGTTCACCCAAAGTAACACCAAATTGTTTATTTCCAGGAGTAACAATATTCAAATCCTTCAATAAATCTTCATCTACTTCCATTACAACAGCACTTGGTTTATAACCAGGTTTATTCTTCTTAGGCTTAATAAGGTCTTTAGCGTAATCTTCATTAGTTTTAACAGTATTATCAACTTTAGTAACTTGACCACTTTGTTTAGTTTGTTCATCTTGTTTAACCTGATTATAATAATCCTTTTGTGTACGTGTATAATATTCTTGTAAATTTTCCTGTATTTTAGGATTACGTAAAGCCAGACTCAACGAACCAGATTGAACGCCATTTTCAATTAATAATTGTTGTTGTTTAGAAACATTATCATGTTCACTAGCAGAATCATAAGCATTCATAAAATTAGTAGCATCCTTTTTAAGAAGTTCATAGGCCTGTCGTCGATCATTAGAACTAGCAGAAGGATCACTATACTGTCTTATAACATAATCAACAGTCTCAAAATATCGTTGAGTATAAGCATTATTTTTATGTACTCTACCATTATGGGCACCAACTTTCTTTTCAACTTGTGAAAAAATCTTATACACTTCATCAAATAACCCACGCTCAGAATTATATTCAAGAAAACGTTGTTGTTTAAAGTCGTTAAAAGCTTGAGAAGCTAAACGATTCTTACCTATAAAAGCCTGTGCAAAATTTCTATCTTCAACTATTTCAGGTTGAGATACCTGAACTTTATCAGCACGAGTAGCAACAGGAATAACAACTACAACTTTCTGTTTACCTTCTTTGAAATTTTGAGCAGCATTATAACCTCTATTACCTTCTCCATAAGCAGTCTGTATATTATTAATATTATTAATCATATTTGATATATCACTATTAGGATTCTGATTATACAATCTAAAACCTCTAGCGACTGCAGCAAATTGCGCATCAAGAGTTCTTATTACCTTAGTACGTTCAGCAGGATCAGAAATACTATAAACATATTTATATAATTCATCTTTATCAATTTTTAAATTTCCACCAACTTTATTACAAATACTTATAATAGGACTCCATCTAGCAAAATATACATCATTAGTTTGTTGTCTAAATACTTCATTATTAACCTTTTGTTCAATAACCATTGCATTCTGTTTCATATATTCAAAATCTTTATCAAAATGTTGCTGATTATCTTTAGCTTTAACAAGAGACTGTTGATTATATTCCATACGTTCATTTAATGATTGAATATAGTTTAAAATCTGATCCTGTTCACGTTTATATTGATCTGGACTAACCACCTTTAAATTAGTTAAATAAGCAGTAAGATCATAAACAGTTTTTCTAATAATTTGATTTTCATTTTCATATTGCATAATAGCTCTAGCAAGATCATTTTGACCTCTATATAATAATTTATTTTCATTACTTAATTTATCTAATTCAGCATCGGTTTCTCGTTTATTCCTAGCAATAATATTCATCAATTGTGCCATTGTAAGTTGATGAGCATTTAAAATATTTTCAATACCATCAATACGATCATTCATATTTTTAAAATTATTAACATAATAACCCAACTCTTGTAAACGATTATCAGTTTGATCAAATTTAGAATTAACATAATTCTGATAAGCACGCATTTCATCTCTAGTAATAAACATATTTTGATTACGATTAAGTTCAATTTGTTGTTGTTCCAATTGCTTTTGTTTATTTTTAATCTTCTTAATTCTCCTATTAGCTTCTTGCTGATCTAAACTACCTTTCTTAACAGCCTCTTTAATATCACGTATTTCATGAGTATTATAATTTATTTGATCTTGAAGTGTTTCTTGATAAGTATCATATGTAATAAATTTCTGTCTATAATCATTGAATCGTTTTTCAGTACGTTCAGCATATTCATCTAAATCACTATCAGCAATTTGAGCTTTTAATTTAGCTTCATTAGCAATACGATTAGCATCATTAATTTGTTGTTGTAATGATTTATTAACACCTTGTTGTTGTCTATTATTATCTCTAATTTGTTGTTTCATTTCATCTCTCATTTCTTGTTTAAGTTTATTACGTTCATACTCACTTAATGGTCGACGAGGATTAACCTTTTCCTTTTCTTCTTCTTCATCATTCTTTTTATAATATCTATCATAAGGTACATATGGACGTACACCATAACGATAGAATTGAACTTCATTATCAATAGGCTGTCTATGATATCTAAATTGTGTTCGATAACCAGACCAATTAGTATGATATTCTTCATCTTCATCATCATAAATTCTTCTCTTGTAACCACGTCTCAATTTTTTACGTTTAAAACGATTCCAATGAGGTTGTATAACATCAAAATAACGATTCATTAAAAATAAGTAGATTAAAGATTAGGATTTGACTCAGGCATACCATTATTAGGCAATACAATTCCTCCATTAGTATAACTGGAATCAGTTGCATTAAATACCGTATCAGGATTAATAGAAGGTTTACTACTATTATCAGCATTTCCAACTACAATATATCCAGAAGCATCAGTAGCAGAAGGAACAACCAATCCCATATTATTTTTAGCATAACCAATAAATCCAGCATATGGTTTAAATATTTCAGCATTTGGAACAAGAACCTTTCTTAATCCTCTTAAAGTAACATCAAATTGCCAATGAATAGTTAAAGTACAAGCATTCATAGCGGCAACAGCTTGTGGAGCTTTAAGTGAAATAAGTAATTGAGGATTCCATGCACTATACATATTATCTTGTGATAATACTTGTTTTGTATTTGTTGTTGGTAAATACATTGATTTTTCCATCATTGATGCAGCATCCAATTGTCTAATAACACCCTATCTACTTCCATAATACAATGTCTTCTCATTTGCAGATGAATAACTTGATACAACACCATAATCAGGTACTCCAAAATATTTAGTACCATTAACTTCAACTACTTTAATTTTAACACCATTTCTATCCCATGCAGTACAAATAGATGGGAAAGTAGCACTATTCAATAAACCATTACCAATGAAAGTCATTTCAAGTGATGCTCTAACAGCATTAACTTTATATTGATCATACATTCCCATATAATTTTCAAAATATTGAGTAGAAGTAAGAATAGCATTTACATTTCTAATTAATGTAGCTTCACTAGAACCAACAGGTACATTAATATTAACATCTTCTTGTACAGAGATTACTACATTAGTAGAATCTCTTTGTTGCATTGCACTCGCAAAATTACCAAATGCGCGTCTAGAAGCAATACTTCTTCTTCCTCTTCTTCTCATAGTACGTCTACCTCGCATTCTTCTTGCCATAACCAAATGAAAATAATAGATCAATTAGTTCACATATAACAAAGGCACAGTCTTACCAGATAATGAATCAACTTTACTAGAATAACTAGCTAATGAAGAACCAGTATTAATAAACATAGCACCAGAATAATCATCAGAAGTGGATCTTCCAATATTAAGTCCGCCAGTATTAAACAAAAACTTACCACTTGAGCTAATAATATCCGTCTTGTAATTGACACCAACCACAATAGAATAATTATTAGCATTATTTTCACCAATAATTCTATTAACAAAATTATTAGCAGTAAACTTATCAGAATCACTACCAACAGCATATGAATAAACTCGAAGAGCATTACTAACACTACCCATAGCAACAGCATATACATACTTATTAGTACTATATTCAGCAGTTCCAATTTCAACGGTCCATGTACTCTTAGGCCCTCTTATGTAAATATCAAAATACATATAATCATTTTCATAATGTCCATTTCCAGTAAGAGGAATCATTTCATTTAATACAGTTGAACCGTCAGAAATATACCAATGTAAGAAAGAAAACGATTCAACAATTTCATTCTTAGTTGTTCTCAATTGCTTAAATCTTACAGTAATATATCCCATAACTTTAAGAATATAACTATCATTAATTGTTAAACTGGCATTATTACTAACCTGATTCAAATATGCAGTCCATTGATCATTATTAATAAAATCAAGTCTAGTACCTCTAATTTCAGTTATTTCAATTCTAACACCAGCTTTCAATATAGCATACAATTCATTAGGAACTTGTTCAGTTGGTTCGGCACCTTTCTCGATAACAACAGTATTAGTTTGTTTAACACTTGAAGTAGTATTCCATTCAGACTGACTTTCATCAAAATACTGAACAACACTCAATATACGATTATTTTCATCGCCATTCATACCAGGCAATTGAGCTTTTGCACCATATAATACACAGGGAATAAATCTACCATTTTGTAATTCTGGTTTAAATTCATATAATTTACCGCTCATAATTGTTGGAATCGTCATCATCTTCTCACTACTACTAACACCTTGAATATCTAATGATAAATGCATTGGTGCACCTGGCATTTTAGATTGATAAATATAAGAGGAATAAGAAGCAAATTCATCATAAGATGGTTCACTATAATAAGTATTACTTCCAATTACATTTTGATAAAATCCATTGGGAATTGTACGTCTAGCAGCCATTCCATAAATACAAGGAAATGTTATTTCCTGTGTAAGAATACTCACTTTATCTTCAGTCGGTCTAGTAATAGCTTTACCGTATGAATAATTCGTATTTAAATAAGTAAGTAAGTTATTTGATTGATCAGCTTCAGTCAAATCACCAGTAGTAATCAATTTAATAAAATCATTATAATTATAAGAAATATAATTAACACCATCATCAGTGCTTACTCTATAAGCATAATTTGTATTCCAAACAGTATCAAATGTAACATTAGCACTTACACCTTTAGTAACATCACCACAAATATGTACATCCATAATTTTAAATTGATCAAAACAATCACATAATTCTCTAAATACAAGACTTTTACTTAATAAACCTAATGAACCAATAGTATGTACATCATTACCCATTCCAGTAACACCAGTAATATCAATTTTACCTTCCCATGAATCACTCACAGGAATAGTAGCAGTTAACTCTTGTTGTGAACTTCTTTTAACAACATCAACATTTTTTCTTGGTTTTAAAGCATCACGTCCACTCGTGGAATTAGCAGCAGATCTCATCTAAATGAATAATAAGTTAAGATGCAAGAACTATATGACATAACAGATATTAAAAACCAATTAGAAACAACAAATTCTAATACTTTTAATATTATTTCAGAAAAAAACAAATACACTTTATATAATTTTCCTTCTTCATCTAATTTACAACAAAAAACAATTACTTATACATCAAACGGTATTAAAGATTTAGTACCAGATGATGGTTATGATGGAATATCACAAGCTAAAATTAACATCATAGTACCTCAACAATCATTACAAGAAAAAACAGTTACTTACACAACAAGAGGAACACAAACACTGCTACCAGATACAAATTATGATGGAATATCTAAAGCAACGATTAATATAA